TTTTCTGTGATCACGCCGATCAGCTTCACGATGTGAGGGTGGTCAAACTGACGCATCGTYACTGCCAAACAAACCAGTTACTCARTCTTTATACSACGACTGTTTTATAAATATTGTTGTTTTTTAAACAAAACAGATTTAGGTCTTACAGGCTTCTTGAAGAAACTTTTCTCTGACACTGTCTGTGGTGCAGTTTTTACAAGTTTTAATGGCAACATTTAGAGACGGCTTGTCCTGTGTAACAGAGAAACACATGTTAGTCAACTTCAAATATTTGTTTGTGTTTGTGTGTATATCTCTACATACTGGGCTGTTGTAGACTCCTTGGTGAACATCGCCAAACTGACCCTCTCCGATGCAACGACCTAACTCTATCCGGTCCCTCTGGATCTCGTAGTCCCGCGCTGAGAGGGAGGACGAGAAGAAGGTTAAACAATGAAATGAAAACAATCACCTGYTTCTGTTTAAACACCACAAACAATGAAGGACTACATTTGACATGACTTGGATCACAGGGATGAAACTTACAAGGGAAAAGAAACAAATTAAATAATAATAAACTGAAGTAAACCTCATRCAGTGGAAATAATTACATCAGTTTTCTAAATTACATCCTTTGTGGCTGTAGGGTGAGTGAATGATTCTGCAGGGAAGCAATTACTGTCTCTACATCAGGTTGTTTCATATTAACTGTCTGATAAATGAACTGAGTTKTACTCAGTAAGTTTGTTCAAAAGTATCTGAAAGAAAAGTGCTTAGTTTTATAACTCAAAAACAACAATCCTTGACATTTTAACCTAATTTGAGGTTTCTGCTCTATAAACAGTTCCGCTGCGTTGTAAAGGTCAGCAAACATTTGTGCAGAGGTGCACTAACATCTGCACAAAAACTGGTCTAAAAAAATGGAGTTCAGGAGAGCTTTGCTGGAAATTTGAAGTCAACAATTTACTGGTGCAACAAACGAACATCCATAATTTACCAGTGACACAAGACACATTCCTTTAAAAATTGCAATGCAAATTATTAATGTCTTAAATATAACACAAGCCACAGAGCTGACACAACTATGATCGTAAATCAGAAGGCTTTGAAATCCAGCTTTAACAAAAGGATGGTGCAACAAGAACCAAAACAAATGCTGTGACCAAGTTTATTTTACAGCCTTAATAATCCTAAACTGTGATTTCTGCAGGAGCATCTCGCTTTGTTTATGAGCTGATTGCCTTATTTCTTATACCTACTGCAAACACAAAGAAGTATGAAAAAAAAACTAAAACTCCTCCTCTGCTTTATGTTTTGCAGTCAGGAAAAGAAATTCTACACAAACTCAAAGCACCTCATTTGGACTTAATGAGAGAGACGGGGAGTTTTACCTTCAACTACTCCATAGCCCACTTGTGTCGGCGGTGGGGAAAAGAGGAAGAAAGACAGATGAAGAAAGAGGGGAGAGCCAGACAGCCACTTTAAAGGTTAAAAAAGCTCAGAAAACACTCACACAAACACTACATACAACAGTTAATAAATACACTGAAGCACTGCCACAGGCTTATTAAAAGAGGACTGCTTTGCTTTAGGCCTTTTATCATTTTACAGATTAATTTGATACAAACAGCAGACAGTGTGACATGAAGACATACAGTAAATTGAGAAAACGTTACACGTTATAGGGTAAGTCACAAAAAAAGTCAAACAAAAAGCTAAACTAAACAAAAAGTTAAGCAAAGTAGTCAGAAAAAGACTGCAAGGAGCAGAGAACAGTCCATTTTAAAAGTTAGCCACATAATTAAATACATAAGCACCGTGCGCCCGGCCAAAACAACCACATTAAAAGCACAGGACTCACGAATGAGTCGGACAGATGTCATGCGTCTCCAAAAACTACATGTGAGCGGGAACAWTTGTAGCTTTCAATCAGCGTCTTTACTGGTAATAAGGAAATAAAATAACTGGTTTAAATTTGATACCACTGAACCAAATGTGTTCCATTTCATCCCCACTGACTGCCAGAGGGCGGTGCTAAAAGCACTGAATGTTCCCTTCGCGCATGCGAGCTGTAATACCAACAGAGCTGTAATACCAACAGAGTCACACCTGTGACCAATCGGATGACTAATCAGAGGCTATATAGCCTGACGTCATCTGAAGCTCTGTTCCTCTTTTCTTCTCGCATACGGTTCATTTCTCTTGTGGAATATTTCGCCGTCGTTTGGACGTCCCGATTGCCAGTTGGCTGGCGTAACGGTGTATCGCCCTCTAAGGGGCTGCGACTGACTTGTCTTCAAAACAAAGAGGTATCCGCTGTTTTGTTGGGGTGACGGCGTTTTTTTGCCTGGTTCCCCAACTTGCGTTTCTTTTTCTTATCGCTGTTGCTAAGTTTGATGAGTGAATTTGTTGGTGAATGGCAGCGTTCT